TAAATAAATCAAACAATTCTGTTTGTTTCAACTAACTAGTTCACTATCACTTTGGTTTTCAAATAAAAAAATCTTTAGCCTGGTTGAGCTTTTGAAAAAGTAGCTGCTTGATTGAACGCAAGATTATTTTACTCTGTCTAACGCCAGACAATTTCACTCGTCAAGGGGAAATTGCTGCCTCTCAGTGAACTCAATCAGAGCTCAATGAGCAGCAGCACTCTCCCTCGATAAGTAAAATCATCTGGCATTAGATGAAGTGAAATAAACTAGTAAAGTAGGGTGCATTGGGGCACAATGCAGCTCACTGGGTTAACTGGAAAATATATTTATTAAACAATACACACCCTATACTTGTATTTCAATTCACAGCATGATTTGGTATGCTTATGTCTATTTGACCCAAGTACCTGACAGGAATGATATTTGAATCACACCTGTATTCATTGAACAAAGCTAATTTAAATGTACATTAATTGTACATGAACCATGTAAATGTAAAAAGTAGCTAGAGCAAAAACACACCCACACAGCTTTGTTTTTTTATTTTTCTTGAGAAGGAATAACTGAGACAACTGAGTTACAATGAGACCAGTATCAACAATTTCAAAAAGGTATTGTACAAAAATATTACAAACATAAGACACTTTAAAGACAGAAAAAACACGAAGTATGTCACTACAGAAACTGTATTCTGTGATATAGATGATATTGCTTTAAAGAAACTTGCAGCTTTTAGTAGTTGTCTAAGGGCCTGTTTATATCGAAACTGGCTGGCCCGCTAAGTGAGACAGCCCGGTAAGTGAGATCTCGCTGTCTAATTATTTTTATAGTAAAAAATATCATTTCTATGGACAAGCGGGCAGGCCCGGTTGCCAAGACCAGGATGGAAATTTCTCCACCTAAACAATCATAAGCAGGCTAGCCCGGTTGCCGGGATGAAAGTTCAAAGATACTGCCGCAAGCTATTTTTAACAACTGTCAAAATAATGTCAAAACAACAAAATTGTCCCGGTAAGTGGGATGAAATTTTCTCAAATAAACACAAGAGAAATCATCCTGCTTACCTACCTTACCGGGCTGTCTTGCTAAGCAGGCCAGCCCGGCTTCCATACAAACAGGCCCTAACAGTCTCTGTCAGGCAATTACAATGTTCTAATGTCCAAGCAGAACAGAGTACAGACCACTTATGCAAGTTGCTACTAAGTCATATCAACATGTGATCTCGACAATACAGTGTATAAACTAAATTCAGCTTCTACACATGAAGCGACTTTAAACACTATCCTTACACTTTATCAATTCATTGAAGTTTGTAATTAAAATACATTCTATTTGTAGTATTAAATCATAAGACATATTCTATTTGTAGCATCAAGTCACATCAGGATTTTATAATCTAGCGTCTTTGGACCCAAGTGATCTAGAGTTCTATCTTGTTAAAACCTATCCAAGGAAAAACAAGAAAGGGATATTGAAGTAATGGTGTTTTTGAGCCAAATAAATTCGAATATCCACCAGTATAAAAGCAGTACTCCACTACTCCGTATATACCGAAGACAAAATGGCATCATAGCGAACACATTTTAATGATGCTCAAATTTATATTCAGTGCGCTATATTTTTAAAAATATGACCCTGTTTGCTTTCTAAATACAACAAAATTACTGCTTTACCTTCTGTTCAAATAGTTCCACAGATAAATCGAAGTCACAATTCGCACTACTTGAAAAAAAAGCTGTTTTTACTGTAGAAATGACAACTTCCCAATATAATTTTCTATTGTCAACACTGCATTACACTTGTTTAGCTCGCGCATGCGCAGTATAAAAGATGGGACATGTTTCCGCTTGAGTGAGACTTCTGGTCCTATTATCTATTCTGTGATGACGGCGCAGAGCGAGAAATCGATATGTAAAAAACCGCGCCTGACCGCGTTGCATGCCGGTATAGTCCTCACTCCTCCTCTGGTGTGTTACAATGTTATGTTATAAAATTTGAAATGCAATATTTTGAGGTCCAATTTTGATTGCTTGTGCTGCTCGCATACTTTTAACTTTCCAGTTTCCAATATGTATGACACACATGATACATGGGAACTATTTCTGTTATACTATCCAGTGAACACTTCTGAATTCAAATGTTTCCTTTGTGAAATGGTTAATCAGCCAGTAAATAATATTTGATTGTTTCAGTATTAAAGACCATATCAAGTCCGTTCTGCTCATAACAAAGGGGACCAACACTCCACAGATATAAAAATTGCCCAATTTTTGCATCTTGACCTTGAACTTTTTTGAATTGAAATGTACTCTAGTTTATATTCATTTACAATTGCGAACCAGAAAAGTGTTAGTCTTATTTTACAAATATAGCACTTCAAAATGTAAACAATACGGACTTGACCACGGGCTTTAAATACTCGAATTAATGTATAAATCTCTAAATGTTTACCAATTTGGCAATAGTAATTTGCCGATACCTGTAATCGCGCGAGCCGTATAGCCTGCGATCAGGCTTGCTACTATAAAGCGTGTTTTATAAAAGTGTGTTAGTTTAAGATGTGTGTTTTGGAAAAGTGTGTTTGTTGGTTAAGTGTGTTTATTCTGTGCAGTGTGTTTTTCTATTTAAGTGTGTTTATCTTTAAACTTGGGTTAATTAACACACGTTTCATAGAAAGGGTGTGCTAACTAACACAGTACAAAAGGTGTGTTTTTCTGAAAGTGTGTTATCTAACACATTCACCTCCATTGCTGTGTGTTTAGCACTATACACTGTGTGTTATATAACCCACATGTGTGTGTTATTTAACTCACAAAGGTGTGTTATGTCGAATCTCAAGAGTAAAATGTGTTGTATAACACACTTAACGTGCTATATAACACAATTTTGTGTGTTTTGCAACACACCTATTTTTAAGAGTGCACGTCCGAATTTATCATTATGATAAATTCGCGGCAAATTTT